TAACTCTTTTTCGTCGAAAATAAAATCGTTGCCTTCGCAGAAATCAAAATCAAGATTTTCTTCGTGCATAATAAATTTCAAAAGCTAATAAAAAAGCTTATTAGCTCAACAGAAACAATAACTCAATTTTTGACCTTTATTCAAAAACGAACGTTAAAATTGAATAATTATACGTAGTGAGATATATGGGAATGTTCGTAATATAATTCTCTACGACACCGGAAAAGAATTTTTTTACATTTCTTGCCCCACGGTACTTTTATACAACGTCAAAGGTGAATAAAAATGCTAAAAATGCGATTTTATTGAACAACATTTCCTACACTTTTGCCCATAACTCGTGATAGCAATGAGCTAGACAACGTCAAATAGGCTTAAAAGTTGCGTAATAGTATTACCTTTTAAACAAAGTAATGATAAACTCTATCGGATAAAAATGGTAGCTAATACAGTAGAATCCGCTTATAGAGACGAGTTTTCGTCGTTATACCCGGAAGACGCACTAAGCAAAAGGATATATGTAAGTGTAAAAGTCTGTCTGGGGACCAATCAAGCCATCGAGTTTTCGTCGCAACACCCGGACGGACACTATAAGCGGAGTCGTTAATAACAGGATTCTACTGTACTTGTAAGAAAGTCGTAGTCATTTTTTTAAAAATGGGAAAAATGAAAAATTGCCTCTACTGCGAAATTTCTACAACTAACTATTCCTTTTTTTGATGTTTTTTGTAGTCTTTCGTCACCATTATGAATTCGCTGGTCCAGATCCAGAATTTGGTGATGCACACTATACTATATCACAACAGTCCAAATAAGCAAGGACCAATCTACTCGTATCCATGTGGAATGCCAACGGCATCACACGGCATAAATTTAAAATAACACTATTCCTGAATGTAAATCACATCGACGCCATGCTGCTGGTTGAAACCCACCTCACAAGCAGATATAACTTCCTTATACGGGGTTATACCTTCTACCGCACAGATCATCCCGATGGTAAAGCCCACGGCGGCACCGGCATCTTAATAAGAGAACGCATCAAACACCATTTTCACCAAAGGTTTGCAACAAATTACTTGCAAGCCACATCCATAAAAGTGCAGTCAGGAAACGACAACCTTTGCATCGCCGCTGTCTACTGCCCACCTCGCTTTTCAATCTCTGAAGGTCAATTCATGGATTTCTACAACTCACTTGGGGATCGCTTCATAGCTGCTGGAGATTACAACGTCAAGCATATGCACTGGGGATCACGCCTCGTTACTCCCAAGGGAAGGCAACTTTATATCCCTACTGGATCTCTCATCAGACAACTCTCCATTGTTGATAAACCTTCTTCAAAGCCCAGAAATTACCGACCAGACCTACAGGCTGGCGTCTGCGACGGGCGTGGCAAACCAGCAGATCGCCATGCTCAAAGCAACGTATAAATGAAGCCACAAGCAAACTAAACCGGGTTCTGAAGCAAGATGCCGAAAACGCACAACTGTGATATATCGAGAAACTCTCTCCAACAAGTGCAAAGCATCCTTTGTGGAGGGCTCACCCAAATCTAAGCTCTCCGGCTGAAACCGTCTCCCCCGATAAGAAATTCTTCAGGTGGCTGGGCGCGCAGCGATACAGACAGAGCCGAAACATTTGCCTCACATCTCAGGCCGTCTTCCAACCGAATCCCGCTGCAAGTTCTTTTGTTCTACCGCAAATCCAAACTGAAAGTGAATCTACAATAACACCGTTTCGACTGAACGAGATCACCAAAGTCATTCGGGGGCTAAAACCGAAAAAGGCTCCCGGCGGTGACTAAATAACTCCAAAAATGATAATTGAACTTACAAACTGTGCTATTGAGGTCATTTGTAAACTCTTCAATGGGATCATATGTCTTGGCTACTACCCAAAAATATGGAAAAAGTCAATAATTATAATGATACCGAAGCCCGGAAAAGATCACACGATTTCGTCCTCTTACAGACCAATAAGTCTATCATCATGCCTGCCCAAACTGTTCGAAAAATGCCTTCTAACACTCATACTACCATATATGGGAGCTCATAACATTATCCCAGCCCATCAATTTGGCTTCAGAGAAAAACATGGAACTATCGAACAAGTCAACAGAATAACATCAGAGATTCGCACAGCTTTCGAACATAGAGAATACTGCAGCGCGATATTCCTCGACGTATCTCAAGCATTCGACCGCGTCTGGTTCAACGGTCTTATGCATAAAATCAAAATCCACTTTCCCGGGTACACCCATTGTTCATTGTTCTCGCTCTCTCGCACTGTGAAGGGTCTCCACTCCGCTCTCCAAGCCGCTCTTGAAATGTCCACCCCGTAATTTTAAGTTTAGTTCTAATCTACAAGTGTAATAGACAAGTCGGAAAAGAGTGAAATAAAAGTGAAGTTTATAACGTTTAACGAAATTCGGCCAGCGTTATTTATTCCCAACAAAACTGGAGTGAGACTTCTGGAAGCACCGCCCCACGATTACAGTATGGTCCTTCGAGCCCGATAATTTGGAAAGAGGGACTTGCACAAACTACCACCGACCACCGGCGGAGTTTTCAAGTTCCACAAGATAAGTACGAATTTTCCATATTTCCGTGGCCGACCAGTCAGATATTTCCCAAGAACCCAATTTTCTTATATCTGTCTGATCGGCTAAATCCATTTTCGTATTGCCATTTTCACTTTCATACGGTCGCCATATTCCGGCTTCTTTTTTCGTATTGCCATTTCCACTTTCATACGATCGCCATATTCCGGCTTCTTTTTTCGTATTGCCATTTTCCGGCTTTGCTCTTTATATTTCCCCATTTACATACATACATAAACACATAAAATCCAGATGCATGCTTATTAATGTACGTATATATGTCTGATCATCTCAACATAAATAATAAAGTACAAATATATAATATAATTAGAATATATTTCCAAGTCCCCCAAACACACATATCCATACATACACACATATAACCTAAATGCATGATTATTAATGTAAGTACATATGCCCATAACGTAAGGCGGCATACCTAGCAAACATTTGGAAAGCGACAATAACAACACATGCTTATTAATGTACGTACTGTAACGAACTTGCTTTTGTGTCTTCGCTCGCTACGAGAACGTGCGGCTAGCTCAGATGAGTTTGTGTGTTCGTCCCACCAAATTTATTGATGCGTAACCCCGAGACCAAAGAATAACACAGAGTCAGGTTAGATTTAAGAATACTTGTTGGGTTTATTGTACGTAGATTCGTAGCTCGATATTTGACTCGTGGTTCTGCTGTCTGATGACTCGATCTCCCTCGTTGTCGCCGGTAATGGCTCCCGCGTCGACTCCTGCGACGGCACGCCTGTCGTGCGTCCTCTGCCTTGCCGAGTCTTTCGGGCACCGGTCGCGTACTAGGCTCGCTACGAGTCTCTCACAACTTGGCGGATATTGAGCAGAAAACCTTACTGGAGGGCTAAGCAGCGCTGCTGCAGTCAACACTCCACGCTCTACCCTGAAGTCGGTCGGGATTTCGTCGGCTGGGCCTCGGCAGGTCCTCAATCTTTCATGAGAAACCGACTCCGGGCACCTTTCGCACAACTCCCTCGGATTCTCGTCAGCTGGCCCTCAGCAGGTCCCCAATCTTTCATGAGCAACCGACGCCGGGTACCTTTCGCACAACATCCACTGGATCTTCGTCAGCTGGCCCTCAGCAGGTTCTCAATATCTCATGCGAACCGACGCTGGGTACCTTTCGCACAACATCCACTTACTCGGACTTCACCAATACCGTCGTTTTCGAGACTCGTAGACGCACCCTACAACTTACCTTGTACCCTCGGGATCTCAGCTTGGCAGTCTCAGCTTATGTAGACGTGACCGTCGTTGGGCTTCTCGACTCGGCGATCTTGATTCCTGGTATCCTGGCACTTGTTGTTCACTTGGGCTTTCACTCGCGTTGGTACGGCCTCTTGCACGGCTTTCACTTGACTGTCCAGCTTCCTGCACGCGTCCTCCTTTTATATGCCACCCGGGTCCCGTTATTTCCCTCCTTCGGTGGCGTGATCGGGTCCAAAGTGCAGGACAAGTGGCGTGATGGGGTCCAAAGTGCAGCACAAGTCCCGTTAGTTCACGGTCTCTCCTCTTTGTGCTGGTCCAAAGTCCGCCAACTTCACCGTTATAACGGGTACAAAGTCCAGAACTTCAACGTTATAACGGGTACAAAGTCCAGACCGGTACCGTTAGTTCACGGTCTCTCCTCTTTGCGCGGGTCCGAAGTCCGCAGACTCACCGTTATTGGGTCCAAAGTCTGCAGACTCACCGCAGCATTGAGTCCAAAGTCCTTTGCACCGTTATTTCCCTTTTTCTCTGCATGCCGCGCATCCCGCTGTTGCTATGCGGCTCTCCTGCACTCAAACTTGTAAGGCGTTTTTACAAACCCTTACATCTCCCCCTTCCTTCGGAAACTTTTAAAAGCTTCGGGCTCCGGAATGTCCTGGGGAAACGTTCTCAATTTGCATCCTTCCCACGTCGACCTCCACTCCTGAGTGCGGCCAAGGGCCCTCTGGATCTCAGCCGGACAGTCTCAGCTTAGTAAGGCATCTCGACTGCGGCGTCTCGACCTCCATGGCTCCTTGCGCGCACCTCGATCCTTCCTTGATCCTTGTGGCCGCTGCCACTCCCTCGTCGACCTCCTCCTGCCACGGCTGAGAGCTCCTCCAACCTCAGCACCTAAGTCTCAGCTTATGTAGACTTCCCGTCGTTGGGCTTCTTGACTAGGGCATCTTGGCTGTCGGAAACTCCCAGCGCGCGACTCCTTCCGATCCTCGTTTCAAATTTGAAAATGTCTCCCGCGCAGAATTTCCCCGCGCACAATCGATAACTCGTCTATCGATCGTGGCGTTGCCACTCCTCAGGGTGCCGTCATATTCAGTGTGACCGGCCAGCGATGTTTCCAGTATTTTTTAGCTCCCATCGATCGAACTATCGATCGACCGCCGTTATCGTGGCGACCCCATTCCCAATTTTTCGCCGGCCTCGTGGTTTTGTTATGGTAAGTGTTTTGATATTCTTTTCTTGATTTTTACCACTTAAATGTTCCTTTTTAGGCCTCTCCAAGCCGGGTTGAGCTGCGGAATCCTTCCAACGATGTATGCGCCGGGACGCTGACCCTGACCTAGCGCGTCCCGGCAGGCCAATATGCCCGGCCTTCGACCCACCCCTTTCCCTTCCCCCCCGCCGCGGCTCCCCGCTCTGGACGGCACTCTGAATTTGGCCGTGGGCTATCAGGTAAGTTTTGAGTTTTAAATATCCTTTGCTAACTCGTGTAACCACTCACCGTCTGCCTTCCAGAGACTCCGACTGGCTCCGGGGGATTCACGCTACACGTCGAACCCACTCCGTGTATGCTGCTGGACCGCCCTCCGACTGACGTCCCCTCCTTCCCCGCTACCCCGCGGCTCCTCGCTCTGTGGCATACCACAGGCTGGCCGTGAGGGCATTGCCACAGGTGAGTTTTTCCCGTACCTTTTGCGTACACACCTAACCTTTCCTCCTTTTGCTTCCAGCCCGCCTGCAGATCGCTCGTCTCCTCCTGCCTTCGCTGGACCTGCTGCAGCCGCCGCTGGATTATTATTATTTATATTTTTTTTATGTGATTATATTTGATTTGTGTGATTTCGCGCGTGCGGTTTTTGACTCCACGGAAATATATTTGTGCGTGTTCGTGGTGTCGTCCAGCCCTATCCCAAATACCCACAGTGACTCCTGCTGGTATCCCGGCCCCCTCTTCCTCCAACCCCCCCTGTGGCAAAACAACCTGGTTGTCTTTGGGTCCTGCATTTTCTTTTATTACTTGAAGGCCTTATAAACCCTTACCGCCCCGCCCGCTACCTTCACCCGGTAGCGGACCCCCTCCACACACATCAGTCGTGCCCACCGCTGGGTCCTCCCGCGACGGTGCTGCCGCTCCGCCTCCGCGCGTACCGTGTCCGGCCACGTGTCCTCGGGGACCTCTGCCCAGGTTGCCTCCTGGGAGAATCCCCGCATCAAGATCGGCCGTCTTGGCGGTGCTGCCACCGGGCACGATGACTGCCTTTGCAGCCGTGGCCGCGGCGGCGGTGGTGGCGGCGGCGTCCTCGGCGGCGACTCGAGCGGCAGCGGTGGCTGCGACGGTGGCGTCGGCCTCCTCGGCGGCGTGGGCGTCCTTGGCGGCGGCGGCGGCGTCCTCTTCCTCGGCGGTGGTGGTGGCGGCGGTGTCTGCCTCCTCGGCGGCGGTGGTGTTGCCGTCCTCGGCCGTGCCCCTTTCCTCGACGGCGGCGGTGGTGGTGGCGTTGGTGTCCTTGGTGGCGGCGGTGGTGGTGGCGTCGGTGTCCTTGGCGGCGGCGGTGGTGGTGGCGGCGTCCTCGGTGGCGATGTGGGTGGCAACGGCGGCTGCGAGGGCGCTGCCGGCGGAGGTGCCGGTGTCCATAGCGCGGCCTCTTCGTCCTCCGCTTGCTGCAGCCGTCTCCTCCAGTCTCTCACAGCAGCCATCCACTCGACGTGCCGCTCCACCAACCTGTCGACCGTTGCCCGTCGGCGGGCCTCGATGACTTCCTCATCCTCCGGTCTCTCCGACGAGGCCGCCGACCCGAACGATATATACTTTTCGGCATCCACCACCCGCCTTACCTGACGGTAACCCCTCCGGGCCTGGTTGGCCCAACGGGTGCCCTCCTCGTCAGAGGAGACCACGGGGGTCACCGTCTCACCTCCGTCGCCTTCGTCTTCCGTCGACGACAACTCCACCGTCTCCATCTCGCCGGTGGGGCCGCCGTCGACCTCCTCGTCGAAGGACATCTCCCTCTCCGACACCTCGCGCCAGGCCGGCGACGGGGACCGCGACACTAACGGCGACGCCAGTAGCTGGAGCGCCGACGACGAGCGCCGACGCCTCCATTTCGCCCCTGGCTGTTGCCGTCGGCCGCGGCCTTCCGCGCCGACCTTACGCTTGCGCAATTGTTGCTGCGGCTGCTGCTGTCGCTACCGCCGTTGTTGCTGCTGCGGCTGCTGTTGTAGTTGTTCCGGCTGCTGTTGATGCGGCTGCGCCTGCTGCTGATGTTGCTGCGGCTGCTGCTGCGGCTTATGCTGCTGCGGCTGCTGCTGCGGCTTATGCTGCTGCGGCTGCTGCTGCGGCTTATGCTGCTGCGGCTGCTGCTGCGGCTTATGCTGCTGCTGCTGTAGCTGGCGGTGGCTTGTGCGTCCTGTCATCTCGGCGAAAAATTGGAAAGACCGAAACCTCTCTCCGTCGCCTCCGACGATACCTCGGTTTTCGTCCTCTCCCACCTTTCTTCGTCCGGGGTCCCGTTACCGGTGAAAGCTTTTCCCTTGCTCTTGTGTTGGTGACCCGGTAACGGTGATCGCCCCTTATTTACCCTCCACTGACCCGCTTCTCGCGCTCCTGGCGCTCGCGCTCCATGTACGTGTGTGTGGGAGGCACTGCATCGATACTCCGTATCGTCCTCTCCCTTTCTTACGAAACACCCGTACAGTGTGCCCCCGCCATGACGGCCGTTACTTATTGTTTCCCCTCAGAGCCAAGTTTTAACTCACTAATGTGAGACCTTTTCTCCTTGCCACTTATGCCGTGCCGCAAATTGCATATCACCGGGGAAACAAAGTCAACAATAGTAAATGGCCCGTCATATTTGGGGGCCAATTTCGCTGCGAAGCCTTCCACTGCTTTGGACAGGTGGTGCTCCTTGGCCCAGACCTTATCACCGATCTTTGGCGTCCATGGCCTCCTCCGCAGGTTGTAATGCCTTGCCTGATCCTGCGCTGCCTTCTCCATGTTACGCCTGACTAGTTCAAAAATTTCGGATAATTTCTGTGCGTTTTCCGTTGGCGTTTGCGTGGCTTTGCCGGTCCCGATCGTGTGTTCATCATATAGCGCCTTCGGGAGTCGGGGTTCTCGACCTTGGGTGACGAATGCTGGCGAGTATCCAGTGGACTCCGCCACACTGGTATTGACGGCCAGCTGTAACTCTGGCCATTTGTCGTCCCACGTCCTTTGGTCGGCCCCTGCAAACTGGGCGATCATCGTCTTTACGGTCCTATTTGCCCTTTCTGTTGGATTTTCCTGGGGTGTATACGGCGCCGTAAATTGGTGTCGCACCCCTAACTCTTCGAGGAATTTTTTGAAGGACCTACTGGTAAACTGCACCCCGTTATCCGTGATCAGGATTTTCGGGACGCCATACCTCGAGACGATTCTTTCCCTTATCGCCTTTTGCAGCGATTCTGTGGTCGCCTTCCGCATCGGCACCAACTCGGTCCACTTCGAGAATCGGTCCACTAGCACGAGCAGCATTGCATTCCCGTGTTTTGACCGCGGCAGTGGCCCGACAAAATCGGCACACACTGTCGCCCACGGCTCCTCGGGAATTTGCGTCAACATTTTGCCTGCCGCCTGCAGCTGGTTCGGCTTGTACTTCATGCAGCTCTCACAGCTACGTACGTAGGCTCTGACGTCCATATGCATGCCCGGCCAGTGGTACCTCGCAGCCACTCTTGCTATTGTTTTCCAGCTGCCCAAGTGACCGGCTGTTGGCGCGTCGTGGTTTTCCGCTATCACCCTCTGTCTTGATCCTTTGGGTACGCATAGCTTCCACGCGACCACGTCCTCGTTCCCGGCCCTGTGGGGTATGTGGCGATACATTTGATCGCCCTCCAGCCTGTAATCCGTGAATTTTTGCGGGTTCTGCGCCACCTTGTTTTTCATTTCCGCTATCCAGTCGCGTTCCGCAGTCTTCGGGCCTGTCTTTGTCGTCTTAGCTCTGCGACATGTCGCTGGCAGTGGCTGTCTCGACAGGGCGTCTGCCACGACATTGAGCTGGCCTTTCCGGTAGGATATTTCGAAATCATACTGCTGGAGTTCCAACGCCCATCTCGCAATCCTTCCCGACGGGCTCTCTATGCTGTTGAGCCACTTCAGTGCCATATGATCCGTGATCACCTTGAAGTGGTATCCCTCCAGGTATGGTCGCAACTTCCTTATGGCCCATACAATCGCCAAGCATTCCTTTTCCGTTGCGGAGTAATTCCTTTCCGCTCCATTTAGGGAGCGACTTGAATACGAGATTACTCTCTCGCCTTGGTCTGAATGCTGCGTGAGTATGGCGCCAAGCCCGTAGTCGCTGGCGTCTGTTTGCAGGATGAACGTCTTCGTGAAGTCTGGGCATGCCAGGATTGGGTCTGCGACCAGCCTGGCCTTGACCGCCTCAAATGCCTTCTGGTGGTCGTCGGTCCACTCCGATTTCACCTTCTTTCGGAGTAGGGCATTAAGCGGCTGGACTAGTGTGGCGAAGTCGGGTACAAAACGTCGGTACCATGATGCCACTCCCAGGTATTGCCTCAGCTCCTTGACGTTGGCTGGGGGTTCCAGCAACGCTATCGCCGCCACCTTCTCCGGATCAGTTCCAATTCCTTGGTCGGTGATGCGATGTCCCAAGTACTGCAGCTCCTTTCTGAAGAACTTGCACTTCTCCACATTTACTTTTAGGTTCGCTGCTCGCAGTCTTCGGAACACTTCCCTCAGGTTTCTTTTATGCTCCTCCAGCGTCCGTCCGATGACGATAATATCGTCTTGATACGCAAAGGCGTGCGGCATCATCTCAGGCCCTATGACCTGATCGAGCGCCCTTTGGAACGTTGCCGACGCTGAGTGCAGCCCGAATGGCATCACCTTCCATTGGAACAGTCCTTTTCCTGGGACGGTGAACGCGGTATACTGCCTGCTCTTCTCCTCCAGCGGTATCTGCCAGTATCCATCCTTCAAGTCCAGGCTGCTGATGTATCGTGCCTCCCTTAGCTGATCCAGGATGTAGTTTATCATAGGCATCGGGTACGCATCCTTTACCGACTTTGCGTTGATTTGCTGGAAATCTACGCACAGCCTCCATTTTCCCGTCTTCTTCTTTACCATGACGATTGGAGAGCTGTACGGGCTTCTTGACGGCTCGATGCATCCTTTTTCCAGCAGCTCGTCTACCTTTTCATTTATTTCCCCCTGCATTTTGGGGTTTTTTGGGTAGTACCGCTGCTTCACTGGCTGGTCGTCCTTCATCGTGATCTTGTGGACGGCTATGTTTGATGCTCCGCTTGACTCTTCTAGAGCTTTCAGCTCCTCCTTTAGGAATTTGGCGATGTCCTCTTCCGAAAACTGTTCTGGTGTTTCTACCACTGCCACTGCAGCCTTTCTTCCAGCATTCCTCGACTGCGCTACCTTGCTGGTATCGCCACCTCGAGTCCTGCGCATTTTACCTCCGCTCCTATTTTTGAGAGGAAATCCCAGCCCAAAACTAGGGCGTCTATCACTCTTGGGAGGATTAATAATTGCATCAACACCTTCCTCGTCCCGAGACCAACCACTATCTCCAGCTGTGATTGGATGCTCCCGCATCTTCCGTCTGCCATGCGCACCTGCCTTCTCGTTGGTACGACCTTACCGGCGGCCTGCAGCCTGTCCGCCAACTCTTCGCTTATAAAACTTGCCGTGGCGCCAGTGTCCACCGTGGCCTTCACTTTTTGTTTGTTTATGAGCACTGTGGCGGACAGCTGCATCTCTTCCGCCTTCAGGTCGCCCATTAATTTCGAGAGGCAGCACCTTGCGATCCCTGGCCGCCCCTCGGTGGCTGAGGTCGCTTGGCGTTTGCCGCTCGCGCGCAGCATTCGCCGTTCGTGACGCCTATTTTCCCGCATCTCCAACAGAATGCTATTCTTCGGTTGCGGCATTCTTTCGCCCAGTGGTCCTGGCTTCCGCATCTCCGGCATGCCTGGGATGGATTGTTCACATATTCGGGCCGTGCGTTACGCTCGTCTGGCTCCTCCTGACAGCGCCTGCACGTTGCTGCTGGTTCCCTCCTCATGGCCGGCACATGGTATCGGGCTTTCGGGATGTTCTCCTGCTCGAACCGCTCCCTCTGCTGGTCAAGCTCCTCCTCCGTCCGCTAATGCCATCAGGGTGTCTAGGTTCTGGCACCTGTACGGGCGTATAAACAGCCGTAATGCTGGGGTGCTATTATCTTTAACCCGCTCCAGGATCTCGTCCTTGTTCATACCCAGGGGTCGCATCAGTGTCTGCATGTCTACCATGTAGTCTTTGAAGCTTTCACCGTAGTTCTGCTTCCTCTGCCTGACCTGATCTGCGAGTTTGTTCATGAAACCCCTGGGCAAGAAGAACTCCTGGAAGCTCTGGCTGAATCCGCCCCAGGTCTCCCAGAACCTGTTGTTCGCGATGAACCATTTCAACGCTCTGCCCTGAAGGAGCTCCGGCATCGCCCTCGGAATTTGGTTGATGTCCAGCCCGTACGTCATGGCCGACCACTCCACTTGTTCGAGGAATTCCAGTGGCTTCTCATTCCCGTCATAACGGAAACTCCACTCCCTCACTTGTTTTGCGACTTTGGCATACTCCTGTCCTGGTCTGCCATTTTCCTCGCGTTGTTCGCGGTTGACGCTCTTTCTCTCCTTGCTGTTCTCCCGTCGGTCGCGGCTGCTGCTCCTGCCGGCGTTCTGCATGCTGCTCACGTCCAGGCTGCGCACCAGGCCCTCGGCTCCGGTGACTTTCAGGCCGACCGACGGGTATTTGGCGTAATCCCTTTCCAGGGCCGCCAGAATTGCCAGCGCTTCATGGTCATGTTCGGAGTGGTCGATGAATTCGGCTAGTGTCCGCCTCATTTCATCTACAAGGCCCTCTAGCTCGATGCCTAGGGCGCTTGCGATCGCCGGGAAATCGTCCTTTTTAAGGTTATACACCCAGGTCTTCCCCATTCTAAATCTATTTTCTGGTTACTTTGGTC